CGATGATCACCGTCTCATCATTGCATCAATGTAAAAGCGTTTGGCCCTGCAGGACCTGCCCGTGTACAGCACCAGCCAGCCATCTACCGCCGCAGGCCAGGTAGAGCCGCTGTGCCATAACTATGCTGCTTTTCAGCCAATGGCGTTTGGCACTGCGAGACTTACCCGTGTGCAGCGCCAGCCAGCCATCTACGGCCACAGGCCAGGCAGAGACGCTGTGCCATAACTATTCCGATTTTCAGCCAATGGCGTTATTGGTAAAAAATGTGCAAAATCGCGACATGAAATCAACAAGCGTTGCTACATTTATGACATATTTTTTGCTGGCCCGGACCAAAATATTTGCGCCGATTTTTTATTGCCTCCGATAGGCTGATTTGACCTTCCTGTGTATGTTGAAGATTTGCGCGGGAGACTCAATTTGATATTACCTGTACACTTGCATAAGCCGGACGTAATGCTTGGCGAGATTTGTCGGTGCCATCGCCAATTGTCGGGGCTTCTCCAGTTGCGCTCGTCTTTTCAATGAGATCTCTTTATGCCGTCCCAAGAAATTGCGCACGAAGCCATCCCCTGGTCTGCAATCTGTGAAAGGGAGTTTGGTTTGACGTGATTGCGGGAGTGACTTTACAAAATGTTGCACCAAATCCTTGAAGCAGCTGCGTGATAGTGGCGTTCCGCTGTGTGAGAATGACAGTAGTGCATTTTTGATGATGGTCTCTTCATCTCGAGTAAAGAGGGGTTTGCGGCCTCGTCTCTGAAGTGCTTTGTTCGTCTGTTTGCTCATCCGCTGAAGTGTTGAATATGACACACAATGTGACTTCGCACATTTGCGTATTGAGATGTTGGAGGTTCGTAGACTGTGAAGGGCTTTGTCGTACTGCTCGCTTCGTGCATCAGGTTTTGGAGCGAGTACGCGTTTTGGGATCATCGAGGCTACCGAGGATGCGAATGACAAAAGGAGGGAAGTGACGAAGTCGCGAGGCTGCTGTGGCGGATTGTGAAGGGAAATCGAGGCACAAAGTTCGTGATCGATTGAATGAAGCCCGCCAAAAAGGCTCGTCGTGTCAGATTTGAAATCGTATGAGCCGTTCTGACGGCAGGCGAACTACAGTGTTTCGAAGGCTGTTTGAAATGGCGCATGTAGATAATTTTAATTGCCAAAGCGACCCAAATTAGTCCTCTGACCCAGATTTGGTGCACCCGATGATACAACGGCGCGAAGGCAACGGCACCACCGCTGCCGCCCCGGGATACAGTACGATGGGCTGTAAGCGCGAGCAGAACCGTAAGGAGTTATATTTACAGCTGACAGCCGGTGCAGAGTACAGTAGTACCCCGCCAGCTACACGTGTAGGATCCGAACGGTAAGTAATTAGTAATTAGTAGTTAATGGCACAAATTAGCCAATTTAGCACAGTAGCTGGTATACAGTTAGTAACAGCTACTGTAACGGGACAGGTGTCCTGGCGTCCCACTTAGGGGTTAAGACCGGGGGCACCTGCCCCGTTCCAGTAAACGGGAGGCCGACTCGCCTCCCTTCTCTTTACGGCTAATTATTATCCCGTTCGGTGTCCCTTTTAGTCTCAGGCTTCTAACCCGTGACCGGCCGTCCGGATCTAACACCACCGACTGGCTGCGCGTCATCGGCCACGTGAGCCTTCTCTCTTTTCGAGTCCTTCCGTACGATTTGCGTTCGCGCATGGGTTACCCAGCGGCGCGCGCTGCCTTACCTCTAGCCCCCCTCGTTTCCGAGTGGTCGGGACGAAGGTGGTTATACCACACTACTCTTTAGCTCCTGACACAACAATTTCAAATTCTCGCGTGCCAGGCCGCAAAAAGTCAAAAGACAGGCTAACATTCATGCTTTGCTGGAACGCATACAGGTCTGAAAAAAATCGAAATTATAGTCGTCGGAAAATCAAAAAATTGTCGAGCTTTTAACTAAAAATCTGCTGCAGAGCTTGGCTTCGATTATTACTCCAATAAGAAGGCTTGGATGACTGCCAAATTAATTAATGATTGCATACTGCGGTTTCAGGTGTATGTCGCCAAAACGCCGGGGAGGAGTGTTCTGCTTTTAATTGATAATTGCTCTGCCCATAGGAGTGAGGCTAACTTGCGACCTCTCCTTAATGTGAAGGTCGTGTTCTTGCCCCCAAATTGCACCTGTAAAATCCAACCTCTCGATGCAGGCATAATTGCAGCTTTAGAACTTCGATACAGGCGCCGGAAAATGGATCGTGCACTGGACAACATTGATACGGAAGCAAAAAATATATAAAACGTTTACGTTCTAACAGCAATGCGATGGTTTAAGATGTGTTGGGAGGATCTGCCGTCAGATGTTATTGCAAATTGCTGGAGTCACACAGGGTTAATTCAGGCCGAGCCTATGATTGATCTATGGAAGACGAGAGTGGCTTGGTGCAAGAGATTGAGCTGCAAATGGAGTAATTAGTGCCTGTAGGACGACATATTTCTATTGCAGGTTTACTTAATGCTGAGGGTGAGGACGAATGCACAGAGCTTTGGAGAGATGCAAATATTACTGACGTGGTCAGCAGAGAAAAAGAGAATAGCAGTGACGAAAGTGTGGATGGCTGTGCCGAACTGCCGTGCGGAAGGGAGCAGCTCAGGGCGCTAGCTTTAACAAATCGCATCGCAGAAAGTACGCGTGACGGAGGTGCAGATTTTCTGCGGCCTGTGCGCAAAATGCAGGCCGCTGTACGTCTGTACTGTGCGCAGTCTATGCAGCAAACGACCATCGATAGCTTTTTTAAATAAAATTATGAAGATGTGAAATGATTGGTGAACAGTGCTCGGTATGATATACTTCGATAAACGGAACCCCCTTTAAGCGGAACCGGAGGGGTTCTCCCGTGCTGGTTCCGCTTATCGAGAGATCACTGTACAGTGATGTTTCCATAGTTGTCCTCCTCGACGCTACGTGTAGAGGGGTTTTCAAAATTAACCCCTTTTCAGAAATGAGCCTCCCAGAAGGGTACACGTTGACATCATTCAAGATGCGGTTGGAGTATTTACAGTGCAGACGCGTTGTTTAAAATATACAAAAATGCAGACGCAGTCCAGAAACATTACGGTGGTATCTAGGCGACCAATGGCCTCATACTGAATGAATCCACTTATTATTATGCTCTGAAAAGAAATTCAAAATTTACGCGACCGTCTGCACAACCGTCTGTACAACCGTCTGTACAACCGTCTGTACCAAGGTACCACGAGGCTCATTTAGTCCACGCTTGACTTGTCCGACTTCGAACTGTGGAGCCTACAGTAGTGCGATCTAGTACGTGCTCAACCTCAAAAGTCTTCAACGGAAAATATCCCAAGCACGACAACTCGAACACGCAAGATTGCTTCTAGGATTGAAAGAGATGGCACTCCGCAGCGAACAGCCTATCTACGAGTCGTCCAGAGCACGTTGTGAAAGGGATTTAGTCAATGAGGTGCAGCTTCTTACCTTTGATGTGACTCAACAATACGTTTTGCTTGTGGCAAATGGTCCTGATGAATGGAGGCTTCCGGGATTTATTTCTTCCGACGTAAGTGACAGCTCGATAGTGAAGGTGCGCAGCGCTGCCAAGACGGTCATTGGTATCGAATTTCCGCTCATTATTCTTCGACATTGTTACTCTGAGGGGTTGTCCGTTGAAAGGGATGATCTTTCAGCTAGTATGGTCCGCGCTATTCTTGTTGCTCAATGCCAGGAGAAATCTCAACGAGTGCCTTCTGGATGCAGTTGGGTGGCCATCACCAATGATCACAGAGCGGGTGTTGTCCATGTGTCGCACTCAGAGAAAGGAGCGGAGCAAGCCATTCGGCGAGAACTGGAACAGACCATAGCCAACGTTTCGCCGCCTAGACGAGTGCCTTGGGCGTCTATGGGATGGTATCCTGAAACGCTTCGAAAGGTGCGCGAAATATTGCATGGGCACAATCTGCATGTGATGGGTGAATTGGTTCAGATCCGTGCGTCATCCAGAGGAGCCGTGCTAAGGATCAAGACGAATGAGAGCGATTACTACTTAAAATGCAGTACATCCACGTCGAACGATGCTGGAGTCACGTCAATAATGTCTCGCGTTGCTCCAGATCTTGTCACCAAGCCGTTGTTCGCAGATGTGGAACGTCGTCAAATGATCCTTGTGGACCACGGTGACGAGACTGGCTTCTGTGGATTGGATGGTGAAGGGCGTAAGCAGGTCGTAAGAGATCTGGCGCGTCTGCACCGCGCAAGCGCAAAAGTGTTGCCCGATTTGTTGAAGGCCGGTCTACCATGTTATTCACCGCTATGGATGCGTGAGAACTTGAACTCACTTTTTCAGTGTAAGGAGCTTTTGTCCGTGCTAGAAACGGAACAAATACAGAAGCTGTCGAGCCTCAAGGTGAAGCTGCAAAATGATCTGACGGAACTTGTTGATTGGGAAATGCCTAATTGTTTGATACACAATGACACGAGCGACGGGAACCTAATCAGGAAGAACGCTGATGAGGGTCCAGGGGTCCGGTTTTTCGACTTTGACAGCTCTTTTGCGGGCCATCCTTTGTTTGATGTTGACTGGTGCAACCGGGAAATCCTAGAGGTCTATGCACAAGAAATGGACATAGCTGACATTGACGGATTGGTTAGGTTGAGCAGGAAAGTATTCTTCAACCTTGCGCCGCTCGTGCAAGCATATAGATACTTGGACATGGCTAGGGAAGCGGAAGACGGTGCTCCCCGGGAAGACGCCCTTCACTGGCTAGGGGACAGTGTTCGTACCTTGCTGTGGTGACCGAAGACGGAAATGGTGACGACATATTTTTGGGCTGAGTTAACGTGTACGACGGTGCAGGCTGGGACGAGGCGCTCTGCAGGTGGCATCAGCTGTATGCGCTTCGCAAGGAGTAGGAAGGAAAGTATGAAAGTTTTGGCGGGAGCGTCATCGTCAGGACGACAGTAAAGGAGCCATGAAAATGTTCAGTTCGTGTTTTGCATGTATCACCGGCTTTATGAAACGCCGGTCCATCTTCTGATAACGAGGCGTACGCACACTGCACTGCGGTTGCCGCATTCGTACCAGACGGAGCACAAGGAGGGGGCTCGTTGACAGGACTCGCGTACAGGGGGAGCAGTGTTGGCATGAGTGCGGACGGAAGACATGTGATGTCTGCACCCTGGGACGAGACTGTGTGTGCGTGGGACGTGGATAGAGGGATCACACTTCGTAGCGGGTGGGCAGAGGGCTGGTAAGACATCACGGGTCGAATTCTGAGGACCGCAGACACGGGCACTGTCTCATATACAGGATAAACATCGCATATAACTCTACGCAAGGGAAGAGTTGCATGAAGGCGAGAGGACGGGTTCTGCGGCTGTCCTGGGTCAATTGGATACTACAGTAGACTCATAGATATGGCATGATCACGCGATTGTACTTGCAAAAGGCCGACCTGCGAGTCCAAATGGCTGTAACGGTGAAGAGGCCGAGTGGGGCGTCGGAGGTCCTGTCGAGACGCGCTTTCCTGGACCCACGAGGGGCGAATTCGACGTCACCCTAGCGTCGCCGACGTCACTGGTACAAAACGAGAACATGCGGGGATCTCGTGTTGAGCGCGCTCCAGCGAGGCCTTGGGAGCAGTCACGGACGCTGCCACGCCACGAGAGTCGTTTCGGTAATACTGGACACGCCGTACTCGCCCAGGAAGAGGGCTCCTGTCTATAACGTACGACGCACGGACCGGCAGTCTTTGAAGAAACAGGCAGGCCTTGGTACAATATCCGTCGAAAGATGCGATTTAACGCACAGTCGTGGCCGCACGCCTTGTCGCTCCTGACCATCACGCACACTCTCGCCTGTGCCCCGCGCCGCCCCATCCGTGACGACCCACTGACCTCCGCCAATTCTGTGTTAAGGCCACGGCCGCAGCCGGGTGCTGCCGTTCTTGCCGGGAATTGCCCGCTGCGTCCCTTTGCAATTCCTCTACCCCCATACAGCGGGGGCATCGCCGGGTGTCCAACTGATCTTTGTCGTCAATCGATGTATCTAGTGAGCGTGAATAAGTGCTGCGGCAAGCTCTGAGGATCGTACCCCTGTCGCAGAGTTTGTGCAAGTGGGGCTAACGCAGTGGTTTCCCGGCAGTCCCACGGGAGCTCTCGTGTCCGCATGCCAGCAATGTATCCCACTAACCCTCCGCCAATTGGCTGTTCCCAACCAAGGAGCTCTTGGTGGAGTGAGGTGGAGTGAGGTCAGCTTGAACACGTCGACATCCATCCGTGCTCTATCACCCCCACCACCGACACAAGCGCATCCGCACCGTCGCCGCCGCCCCACCGCCTTTACGACCGCCCTCACCCACACTCATCAACCTGCCCTCCTTCTTTCCCTTGCCCCTCCGAACCTACCACTATGATTTGCCCCCCGTGGACTCGTCAAAAGTAACATCGCTGGATACGATCACTTTGTGCAA